CAAGTGGTAGAGCGCTTGCCTTGAGCTGAAGGGCTCCGGGACAGCGCCCAGGCCCAGAGTTCAGGCCCCACGACCGACAACAACAACAGAAGAGCTTCAGTTACACCCACCTGGGACTACCTCGTGTTGATTAAGTTAAACTCACCTGATTCACACTGACCTCCTTCACCACAGCCTGCGGAGTCACAGTATCTGAACGCCGCAGGGAAGCTGTGAACACCACACAATGGCCGCTGCTTCTTTCCCCACATCCACGCTGGGGAGACATAATCCCTGCGGCCAAGGTTAAAGGGGGGAATTCGGGCAGTTCACCCCAGGCTCCTCAAGGGCCACCCCGTCCATTCATTTCCTTTTCCCCATCAGCTCCTCCTGAGTTGGCTCCCATCACGGACAATGCACGGGCTCTGTCTCAGCGGCAGCACATTTCTACTGGCGTCCTCATGCGTGGGGGCTCTGGGAGGTTACGGGATTTACTCGGACACATGAAGTCTCTTGGCACTGCTGATATATGAAGCGTCCTGGCCGGAGCGGAGCCTCTCCAGGCAGTCTGACGCTGACATCCCCAATGTGGTTTTCAGGTGAAAAGAGGCCCGAGTTCTTCCTTCCGCTGTGATAGAACAAGGCCCAGGGCTGACCCAGATGCATGCTTGTGGCTGACATAACCCACGCTTTGATCTGTTTCTCTGGCACTTGTGTCACCGGGGAATGGTGTTCACTTTCTTTGTGGAGGCCTCTTCCTCCGCGAGGTAGCTTAGCTCTCCTGCTCCCCAGCAAATGTCAGCCACACTCCCAGCATCCAACCGATGCCCTGCAGACGACTCCCCGGAGTGACTGAGGAAGAGGTCGCATCGGCAAGGAAAGACGGACAGACATCATCATGATTTGACAGCGTTAAGGAAGATAACCGGGGGACAGCAGGGGACTTCATGCCAGGAAAGTCTAAGACTTTGACAAAAGGAGCAAGTTCCTTGAAATCAAGGCCGAGGGCCTCAGCCCTGAGCCGCGTCGCTGCCAATGCGGCTGCAGACCTCTGGGGCTTCCCCTGGTGCTCACGGCCATGGCCACGGCTCCCGCATCCACCCCACGGTGGTGAGCGGCCCGTGCCAGCCTCCTCCTCCCGCCCCTTCCTGCTTTATTGCCTCCAGCACCCTTTGCAGGCTCTCCTCGGCTTATTCCTCACCGACAACAGCATACAACTGTGCACGGCTCCGACTCTGCAGCCTAGACCGCTTTACTGAGCCGTGTGACTGAAGAGCCACCTCTGTCTAGACGAGGCCCGTGCTGGCGTCTGAGTCATGGCAGACCCTAAACTCAACCTTGGTCTTGGCGCTAGTAAGCCCCCATTGTACTGATCCTGCTCCCATTCTCCATCCTGTAGCAGGCAGGGCTCTGCTCCCCCTCCCCCTCCCCCCCCCTCCCCCCCCCCCCCCCCCCCCCGCACACCCAGAGTCCACGTGGGCATGGGACTCCGTTTGTTGGGTTGTCAGTGCTAGGGCTTGAACTCAGGGCCCCATTGCCTTTTTGCTCAAGGCTGGTGCTCGACCACTTGAGGCGTTGCTCACTTCCCGTGGGCTGTTTCTCCTGTCCAGCCTTCCTCCTCACTCCTGACCAGTATTTCCACGGCCGCCACCGCCCACAGCACGGCTTCCAGGCCTGGCCTTGGGCTTTGCTCCTCCACGGGGCAGGGTGGTTTCTATTCAGAGCTGGGCAGGCCTGTGAATGCGTCAACCAGGAGAGCTGCAGAGCAGGTGCGGGATGAGCGTGGTGTGGGGTGACCCCTGTGCGGGTGACCCCTGTGCGGGGTGACCCCTGTGTGGGGTGACCTCTGTGCAGGTGACCCCTGTGTGGGGTGACCCCTGTGCGGGTGACCTCTGTGCGGGGTGAGCGTGGTGTGGGGTGACCTCTGTGTGGGGTGACCCCTGTGCGGGGTGACCTCTGTGTGGGGTGAGCGTGGTGTGGGGTGACCTCTGTGTGGGGTGACCCCTGTGCAGAGCGACCTCTGTGCAGGTGACCTCTGTGCGGGGTGACCCCTGTGCGGGGTGACCTCTGTGCAGGTGACCTCTGTGCGGGGCGACCTCTGTGCAGGTGACCTCTGTGCGGGGCGACCTCTGTGCAGGTGACCTCTGTGCGGGGTGACCTCTGTGCAGGTGACCTCTGTGTGGGGTGACCTCTGTGCGGGGTGACCATGGTGAGGGGTGACCTCTGTGTGGGGTGACCTCTGTGCAGGTGACCTGTGTGGGGTGACTGTGGTGAGGGGTGACCTCTGTGTGGGGTGACCGTGGTGAGGGGTGACCTCTGTGTGGGTGACCTCTGTGCGGGGTGACCTCTGTGCGGAGTGACCTCTGTGTGGGGTGACCGTGGTGAGGGGTGACCTCTGTGTGGGGTGACCTCTGTGTGGAGTGACCTCTGTGCAGGTGACCTCTGTGCGGGTGACCTCTGTGTGGGGTGACCTCTGTGTGGGGTGACCTCTGTGCAGGGTGACCTCTGTGTGGGGTGACCTCTGTGTGGGGTGACCTCTGTGCGGGTGACCTCTGCGGGGTGACCTCGGTGCGGGCAGCTGGTCCAGGCAGCCCCCACTGCCCGTGCGGCCTGGCCTCTGATGGCCACCTCTCGGGAAGCTTCTCAGACCTCGCCTCCATGTTGTCCAGGTCAGGTGGACAGCTCACAGAGGTGCTCTGGGACTGTTCTGGGAGCTGGCCTCAGGCTCTCCCAGTCCAGCCACTAGACCTGAGAATCCTTTCAGAAGTGGGTCCAGTGACCCCACTGCCACAGCCCCCAGGTACCTGGGCTCTGCCCTGCCCCCCGCTCCCCGGGCCCCCTGGAGCTGGAAGAGCCACCCCAGCTGCGCCCGGCCCGCACTCCTGCCGCAGATGGTAAATAGAGCGGCTAACGTGGGTAACGGTCACAAGGCAGGGACAACAGAACCCAGGCCCACACCCGCCCAAGACGCCACCGGTGTCCCGCAGGGCTGCCCAGGCAGGGCTGCTCCCGCAGGGCTGCCCAGGCAGGGCTGCTCCAGCCCCACTCTGGCCGCCAGCACCCTGCCATGCTTCCCTCCCAGAGAATGTTCCTGACTTTCCTCAGGTTCCCTCTGCATGGATACCAGGAAGGCGAATGGACACTCGTGAAAGCTTTTGGAAACTGAGGGATGAAAATCGAGCTCCTTCCCGGAAACCCTGCTCCTCCAGAAGCCATGCTGATGGCGTGACCCTCGGCCGCCCGAGCCCTCTGCGCACAGAAACCCTGAGAACACGGCGGTGATCCCCCAAGTGTCTGGACAGAGCGACAGTCGTTCATGCACCTAGAACCTGGGGCTGGGCCGTCGGAGCAGGTGAGTGTGCTTCCATTTCCCCATCCAGAAAATGGTAATAAGCAACATAAACCATACAGTTAAGGCAATAGTGAACGTGTTGAAGTACTTAAGGTGGTCCAAATGGTGCCTGGCAGGAAATGGTGGGTAAATCACTGCTTGTTTGGAATAGGAACGAACCTGCAGGAGCTGCTGTGCTCTTGCTGAAGGCTGACGGTGGCTTCTGTGCAGGCCCCATCTCTGCCCTCAGCCGCCCACACCTCACTATCTTTGAAATCACCCCTCCATGTGGCTACTCAATTCTCCAGCCGGGACTTGATCCATTTTTCTCTCCCCAGACCTTGAGGTTGCTTTCAGTGAATCTGTACTGAATTGAATCTTGCTTTGACTGTACACACACACAGTAACTCGAATTCAGAGGAGGCCTGATAAGCCTTAGGAGCCATCAGTGTTCTAAGCTAGAACCTTCCAGGCTTAAGCCGTGTGCCTGATGCTGTGTGCATCACCAGTAGCTGCTGGCTGTTTGCTTATGTGGTAATTTAGTCAGGTACCCTGGACACACCCCAGATTCTCTCCCTGGCCTTCCAGCCAGGGGGGATCCAGTACCCGCTGGGGGATCTTGCAAGAGAAAGTGTTCCTGGGCAGGAAGCAGACTTGCAGGATGTCTGTGCCATCTGAGGTGGCCCCGTTGGAGGTGGTCCCCGTTGGGAGCTGGCCCGCAGGAGGAGGTGGTCCCAGTTGGAGGTGGTCCCCGTTGGGAGCTGGCCCGTAGGAGGAGGTGGTCCCAGTTGGAGGTGGTCCCCGTTGGAGGTGGTCCTCGTTGGGGCTGGCCTGTCGGAGATGGAGATGGTCCCTGTCATTTACCTGTGCCGGCCAGCGGCCCAGGTGGTGTCAGATTCCGCGTGGGTCTGGCCTCCGGCTTGCCCCGCGGCCTGCCTGCCTGCCTGCCTGCCACGTCCTGCACCGCACAGAGAAGGGTTGCACCCCGGGGCGGTCCCGGCCCCCTCCGCTTTCCGAATGTGTGGTATGGGTGGTCGCGCGTGGATGCGCGTGGACGCGCGTGGGGGCCGGCGAGCGCGTGTGGACGGGTCCCCCGTGGTGGGCGGCCCAGCTGGCCACCGGGGACCTGGGGCCGCCTCCTCTCCATGGCTTGGCCCGGTGCCGAGCCGGGCTCTGCGTGGGCCCTGACCCACCTCAGGGGCCGCGCAGCGCGGGGGAGTCCCGGGTACCCCTCCGCAGCTCTTCCTGCGCGCCCGGGTCCTCCCCACTGGAGGCGGGGGGCGGGGGGGAGAGGGGGGCGGCGGGCAGGGGAAGGGAGGGAGGGGCGGGCGGGCGGGCAGGGGAGGGGCGGTGAGCGAGCCCGGCCCGCCCTCCGTGGTGCCGGCCGCTGGCAGGCGGAGCCCGGCGCCGAGCGTCCTCGGCCAGGGCTCTGGGCGCAGCGCGGGCGGCGGCGGCGGCGGCGGCTCCCGGCCCCCGGCTCCCGGTTCCGCTCCCGCTCCCGCTCCCGGCCCCCGGCCCTCGGCTCCCCGGCTCCCGGCACCCGGCTCCCGGGTCCCGGCTCCCAGTCCCGGCTCCCGGTTCCGCTCCCGGCCCCCGGCTCCCCGGCCCCCGGCCCTCGGCTCCCCAGCTCCCGGCTCCCCGTTCCCGGCTCCAGACTCCCGGTTCCCGGCTCCGGCCCCCGGCCCCGGCCATGGAGCCTTCGCACAAGGAGCCCGAGGCGGCGGCGGCGGCGGAGCCCCGCGCGGCGCCCGCGTCCAGCGGGGTGGTGGTGCAGGTCCGCGAGAAGAAGGGGCCGCTGCGCGCTGCCATCCCGTACCTGCCGTTCCCGGTGGCCGTGCTCTGCCTCTTCCTCAACACCTTCGTGCCGGGGCTCGGTAAGGCGCGGCCCGCCCGGCCCGCGACACCGCCGCCCGGCCCCAGCCGAAGCGCGGACGTGGGGAGGGCGCGGGGCGTGGGGAAGTGCGGGGCGCGGGGAGGGCGCGGGGCGTGGAGAGGTGCGGGGCGCGGGGAGGGCGCGGGGCGTGGAGAGGTGCGGGGCGCGGGGCGTGGAGAGGTGCGGGGCGCGGGGAGGGCGCGGGGCATGGAGAGGTGCGGGGCGCGGGGAGGGCGCGGGGCGCAGGGAGGGCGCGGGGCATGGAGAGGTGCGGGGCGCGGGGAGGCGGGGCGTGGAGAGGACGCGTGGGGCCCGGGGAGGCGCAGGGCGGCGCGGGGCGTGGAGAGGGCGCGGGGGGCGTGGAGAGGGCTGGGGCGCGGGGAGGCGGGGCGTGGGGAGGGCGCGCGGGGCGTGGGGAGGGCGCGCGGGGCGTGGGGGGGCGCGGGGCGCGGGGGGGCGCGGGGCGCGGGGCGGCGGGCGTGGGGAGGGCGTGGGGAGGGCTGGGGCGCGGGGAGGGCACGGAGCGTGGAGAGGGCGCGGGGAGGCGCGGGGCGTGGGGACGGCGCGGGTCGTGGGGAGGGCTCGCGGAGCGTGGGGAGGGCGCGCAGGGCGCGGGGAGGCGCGGGGCGTGGGGAGGCGCGGGGTGCGGGGAGGGCGCGGGGCGTGGAGAGGGCGCGGGGTGCGGGGAGGCGCGGGGCGCGGGGAGGCGCGGGGCGTGGGGACGGCGCGGGTCTTGGGGAGGGCTCGCGGGGCGTGGGGAGGGCGCGGGGAGGCGCGGGGCGTGGGGAGGCGCGGGGTGCGGGGAGGGCGTGGGGCGTGGGGAGGGCGCGGGGAGGCGCGGGGCGTGGGGAGGCGCGGGGTGCGGGGAGGGCGCGGGGCGTGGAGAGGGCGCGGGGAGGCGCGGGGCGTGGGGACGGCGCGGGACGTGGGGAGGGCTGGGGCGTGGGGACGGCGCGGGACGTGGGGAGGGCTGGGGCGTGGAGAAGGCGCGTGGGGAGGGCGCGGGGCGCGGGGAGGCGCAGGGAGAGCGCGGGGAAGGCGGGAGCGCACGGTTTCCGACCCGCCACGAGGGTTGGGTTCCGGTCAGGAAAGTCTAGAAACTTCTTGGGGCGGGGCCGGCTCCTGGCCGGGTTCTCCGGTTCTCCCTGTCGGGGCCCAGGAGAAGCGGCCGAGCTGGGCTCAGCGGACCCCGACCCCGCGGCGTGCGGCCTGCGGCCTTTAGCTCCGTCCCGCAGAGCGCTGGGGGAGGGACCGGGGCTGGGGCCGGGGCCGGGGCTGGGGCCGGGGCCGGGAACGGGGGGCCGGGGCCACGGGGACGGGGACGGGGGCCGGGGCCACGGGGACGGGGACGGGGACGGGGGCCGGGGGCCGGGGGCCGGGGGACGGGGACGGGGGCCGGGGGACGGGGCCGGGGGACGGGGCCGGGGGCCGGGGGACGGGGCCGGGGACGGGGGCCGGGGGCCGGGGGACGGGGCCGGGGGCCGGGGGGCGGGGCCGGGGGCCGGGGGACGGGGCCGGGGGACGGGGCCGGGGGCCGGGGGGCGGGGCCGGGGGACGGGGCCGGGGGCCGGGGGCCGGGGGCCGGGGGACGGGGCCGGGGGACGGGGCCGGGGGACGGGGCCGGGGCCGGGGGACGGGGCCGGGGGACGGGGCCGGGGGCCGGGGGCCGGGGGACGGGGCCGGGGGACGGGGCCGGGGGCCGGGGGACGGGGCCGGGGGCCGGGGGACGGGGCCGGGGGACGGGGCCGGGGGCCGGGGGGCGGGGCCGGGGGACGGGGCCGGGGGCCGGGGGCCGGGGGCCGGGGGACGGGGCCGGGGGACGGGGCCGGGGGACGGGGCCGGGGCCGGGGGACGGGGCCGGGGGACGGGGCCGGGGGCCGGGGGCCGGGGGACGGGGCCGGGGGACGGGGCCGGGGGCCGGGGGACGGGGCCGGGGGCCGGGGGCCGGGGGACGGGGCCGGGGACGGGGGCCGGGGCCGGGGGACGGGGCCGGGGGACGGGGCCGGGGGCCGGGGGACGGGGCCGGGGGACGGGGCCGGGGGCCGGGGGACGGGGCCAGGGGACGGGGCCGGGGGCCGGGGGACGGGGCCGGGGGACGGGGCCGGGGGCCGGGGGACGGGGCCGGGGGACGGGGACAGGGACGGGGACGGGACAGGGACGGGACAGGGACTGGGGACGGGGCCGGGCGGCCAGGGCAGAGGCTGGAACTGGAACTCGGTGCGGACGTGGGCTTCCCACGGTGAACGCCCGCGGTGCCGGGGCGGCCTCGGCCTCGTGGGCCTCACACTTAGGCGGAGACGCAGGTGGAGGGGAGGGCGGCGGGGAGGTTTCCTGACCCTCTCTCCCAGACCCGCGTGGGGGCGCCTGCGAGGCCAGCCGCCGGGCTCCAAGGGGGTCAGCTGGCCCCCCACCCCAGGCCTCCCCTGACCCCCTTGATCCCCCAGGACCCCCACCCCCAGGCCTCCCCTGATCCCCCAGGGCCCCCACTCACCCAGGCCTCCCCTGACCCCCCAGGGCCCCCACCCCCAGGCCTCCCCTGACCCCCCAGGGCCCCCACCCCCAGGCCTCCCCTGACCCCCCAGGGCCCCCACTCACCCAGGCCTCCCCTTGATCCCCCAGGGCCGCCACCCCCAGGCCTCCCCTGACCCCCCAGGGCCCCCACCCCCCAGGCCTCCCCTGACCCCCCAGGGCCCCCACTCACCCAGGCCTCCCTTGACCCCCCAGGGCCCCCACCCCCAGGCCTCCCCTGATGCCCAGGCCCCCACCCCCAGGCCTCCCCTGACCCTCCAGGTTCCCCACTCACCCAGGCCATACCCCCCTCCCGCGACCCCCCCCTCCCCTGACCCCCCAGGGCCCCCACTCACCCAGGCCACACCCCCTCCGGCGCCCCCCAGGCCTGCAGGGGTTCTCGTGGCTGCTGGGGGCTGTCTGGAAAGAAGGCTAGGGTGGCCCCGCTGGTTTCTCCTTCAGAGGTTCCCGGCCTGGCGGCTGGAGGTTAAGGTCATGTGTCTCAGATCTCCAGCATCTGCTGGGGCTCTGCGTGTGAGGCCTGTGCTTTCTTCTAAGTGGCAGGTAAATACCACCTGGTGGGCCCTTGGCTTGTTGGTGGCCCGGGCTTGGGGGCGGGCTGTCCTCCATCCTGCTGCTCTGCAGGGCTGAGTGCCTTCCCCGGTGGGGGCTGCACAGCGGTGCTCTGCCCCCCTCCCTCCCTCTCTCTCTCCCTCCCTCCCTCTCTCTCTCCCTCCCTTCCTCCTCCCCCCCCCCCCCCCCCCCCCCCGCCATCTTCAATCACGGGGCTTGAACTCAGGGCCTGTGCACTGTCTCTGAACTAGGAGCAATTTTTCACTCAAGGCGAGCGCTCTTTGAGCCACCATCCACTTCTGGTTTTCTGGTGGTTAACTGGAGATAAGAGTCTCACAGACTTTCCTGCTTGGACTGGCTTTGAACTGTGATCCTCAGATCTCAGACTCCTGAGCAGGATGAGCCACAAGTGCCCAACAGATCCCCCACTTTCTTTTTTTTTTTGGGTCCAGTCGTGGGGCCTGAACTCTGCCTGGGCGCTGTCCCTCAGCTCTTCAGCTTAAGGCTAGCACTCTACCACTTGAGCCACAGCGCCACTTCCGGCTTTTTTCTTATGTGGTGCTGGGGAATCGAACCCAGGGTCTAAGGCATGCAAGGCAAGCGCTCTACCACTGAGCCATCTTCCCAGCCCCCCCCCCCCCCAGTTTCTTTTCTTGCCCTGTCCTGGCGTGAGCGTGGTTTGGATGCTCTAGCTGGTGGAACCCCCAGGGGCAGATCCTCTCCACCAAGGCCTCCTGGCTCAGCCAAGGCTCTGCTGACAACGGACAGCGGGCAGGGTCCTGCCCTTGGATGAGATACTGCTCTCCAGCCCATGCACTCACAGCCACCAGGCACCGGGCCCAGGGCTGTGAGAATGAATAAACCAGGCAGGATGCTATTATTCCTTGGGGGGGGGGGGAGGGGTAGAGTGCTCCTAGAAGAGGCACAGCGTGGGTTGGCCTGGTGGCAAATCTGTCCTGTGGCCCCACCAGCCTGCCACCAGCCTACCAGGCTCTGCACTCTGCTCTGGAAGTTGCTCAGATTGCCATCCAAAGACCCTGTCTCTCTTCTGGAAGCTGCTTTCCTTCCATGTCCTCTTGTAGGCCGCTGGGATGAACACGTGTGGGGCTGAACGAAAGCCTGTCTTTGCTCTGTCTCAGGTCCGCCACATCTGCAGGTCCCGCCCCAGGGAGCCTGCCGCCGCCGCTCCAAAGGTGCTACCATTTCTCTGTCCAGGCGTGGGGCCCAGGGTGCTTGGCCTCCTCTCCTCTGCGGGGGAGGAGATGCCTGCGTCTGTGGTCACGCCTCGTGGTCAGTGTAGGGGTAGAACCCGGGGCCTCACACGTGCCGGAGCTTTCCTCCCTCACAAAACAACTTTCACCAGTGGCTGGCAGGAAGGAGCGTCACCCTGGCCCTTCTCCACAAACCTTCCCGAAGATCTGGCCAGTGCTTGGCCTTCCACCCGGAGGACGTTGACAAGTGTGCATCCATTATCCACGCTCATGAGGGAAGGGACTTGTCCGCCTCCGCCAGTCAGACAGTCTGTCGATTGAGGACAGGCATTGGGCTTCCGGTTGTCTATCGTGACTCAAAACAGGGAGCCCACCTAAGGTGGCCGTTAATCTGGTGCTGTGTGTCCGTCCCTTGTCCTCTGCCCCTTCCTGGGGACAGCACCACCGAAGGCTCAGACTGGTTCTCCACGCACTGCGACTTGAAGCATCTCTTTTGTAGATGACTTCTGATACTGTTCTGAGCGTTTATCCATCGCCTGTTTAAATAGATTGTAAACTGAGAACAGCAACTACTTTCAATTTTCTTCTTGAAATAGTATGCTTTTTGTGAACACACCCTGACAGAACTGTGCACTTGCTACAGGTATCAGAGGTCAGTTGACCCAATGCCTTTATTTTATGTGTAAGCGAGAGGGCTGGAAGGTGGAAG